CGGCTGGCCCCTTGCCCTGGCCTGGGGCTCAGTGTGGTCCTCCTGCTGGCGGCCGCCCGGCCCTCAGCCTGAGCTGGCGGCCTGCACTCTGTGGTCATCTGAGTCCCACCGGCAGGCCGGCAGGGGAGGGGCTGGGTTTCCCACCCCATCCTGGGGCTGGGTCCTGGCTGGGAGGGGTCCTGGTCGGGCAGGGACGGGACAGGAATCAGGCTGCTCTTGCTGGGCCAAGGAGATGTGGGGCTCCCCTGCCCTGTGTAGGCCGTCCGTCCGTCAGCACTAACTGGTTGCCTCCTGCGGAGACGATAAAGTGAGTCCCAAAGGAAGCAGGCACCCGAGGGGGGAGTGTGGTGGAGTGGGGAGGGGTGCTCAGCGGCCCCTCTGCCATCGGTCCTGGTGGCCACCACTGCCCCAGTCCTAGGGGCCTGGGTCAGGTGGAGCAGCTGCCTGTTTGGGGGAGGGGGGAGTTGGAGAGAGGCAGGTGCGGCTGTTTATCCCATCCACCAGTCGCCTAACAATACTAACCACTCACCCATTTCACAGACGGGGAGACTAAGGCCCAGCTCCCCGCAGAGCAAATGGCAGAGCCAGAGGCCCTGGCTGCTGGCGGGACTCATGGGTCCCCCAGGCCTTGGTGGGGCGGGAGGGCCTGAGGGCCTGGGTCCGCGGTGCAGGCTGGCACTGGGCGAGGTGCACGCGGGCTCCTCCCTGGTTTCGGGCCTGTCCTGTCCTTGTGTGGCTGCTCCTGAGGCCCTTGGGACCCTGACGACCCATCGCGGCTCCCTGGGGCGAGTCTGCAATGTCCAGGGCCCGGTGGGCACCCGCACGGCAGGTGTGGACGTGGCAGGGGAAGGCGAAGGGGCTGCTTAGCACGCAGGGGCCGGGCCGCCAGGTGGCGGAGCCAGGGCCGGGTTGGGCCGCAGGTGTATTGAGTGGAGGCTGTGGAGCGCATTGGTTCCTGGGCCGCAGGCACAGAAGAGGCCGCTTGGAGGGCCGGACGGGAGATGGGCGGCCGGCCCACACCGGGCCGCGAGGTCAGAGGACTGAGACACACTCCCTTTCCTGGAGGTGGAGAAGTCGGGTGACCGAGGAGAAGGGTCCCAGGGACTGTGCGGTAGGAGAAGCCCCAAGCCGCCCCATTCCAGGGCTTCCTGAGTCGGGTGTGTGCTGGGGGACGGCGGCCTCTCTTGCCTTGGTCTCCCCTCCCCGTCTCCCCTGTTGCTTTAGAGGTTACAGGAAGCTCCGGGGCACAGGCAGGGCTGGGCCAAACGGGGAGGGGGGCTGAGGGGCTCCGGGGCTCCGTCCTGTCGCTGGGTTAGCATTACACTCCCTGTAGCAGCCCTGCCGTCGTCCTGGATGAGCCAGCTTGCGCAGGTGCAAATTGCCTTTTCTCTCTCAAGTTCCCAGGCCCTAGTGGTGTGCTCAGTGGTTAGAGCGCTGGCCTTCAGACTACAAGGTCCTGGGTTTGATTCCGGTCAAGGGCACGTACCTCGTTGCAGGCTTGATTCCCGGTCCTGGTCATGTTTCTCTGTCTCTCCCCTTCCCTTCCACTCTAAAAATCAATGGGAAAATATCCTCAGGTGAGGATTCACCTAAAAACAAAAAAGTTTTCAGAATAGATAATGAGCACCTGTGGCTCACAGCCGTGTGCGTGCGTGTGCATGTGCGTGCGTGTGCATGTGCGTGCGTGTGTGCGTGCGTGCGTGCCCATCCATCCAGAGACGTCGTCTGCAAACACAAGCTCCTTATTCCAGGTGGGCACAGGCAGGCTATGGGGGGGACCCGGGGGAGTGTCCCCCTGTCAGATCCAGGGCCTGGCTTTGGGGCAGGTCTCTCGCTTCTGAGGCCTCACTTCTGCCTCCCCTCGGCCCCGACTGCTGTGGGTGTTCTCCAGGCCAATGAGCTCCCACTCTCGTGGCAGGGGCTCCCGAGGCCCCGTGTGACTGACCATCCTCTCCAGCTCGGCCAGGTCCAGGGGCAGGTCCGGGAGGGGGTGCAAGTGTGTGCCCGCCACCTGCAGGGGTGTGGGCGGGGCATGGACAGGCAGGTCCAGGGATCTCCTTACTCAGTCCTGAATGCTCCTCCCCTGCTCTGGTTGTGGAGCCTTTCCCGAGCTGTGGACATGGGCACAGACATCCCAGCTAAGGAGGCGGAGGAAAGGACCCCCTCTGTCCATCCCCCGCCCCCCGCCCCACTTCTGAGAGAGTGCTTGCTGCGCACCCAGTGCTCCGAGC